TGACCAACAGGTTTTGCAAAGGGGTCACGGCTAAGTGCGTCTGCCACTACATTGCCCTTTCCCGGCAAATGTCTGAGCTCAAAAGAATATGAGGCGAGCTTTGACACCCAGCGGATCTCACAAGCGTCAAGTTTTGGCTTCGTCAGAAGATATGTGAGCGGATTATTATCCGTCCATACAGTGAAGTTCCGCCCTTTCAGCCAATGGCTAAACTTTTCACAAACACTCCACTTGAGAGCTAACAGTTCAAGTCTGTGGGCCGGGTACCTCCGCTGTGATACACTTAGGGTCTTGCTCGCGAAAGCAACAGGCCTAGCTGTAGTCTCACCCTTGGGCACTTGAGAAAGCACAGCGCCAAGACCATCCAGAGACGCATCTGTTGACAGGACAAAGGGTTCTTCAAAGTTAGGGTGGGCAAGCACAACACACTCCAATAGCATTGATTTCAACTGCTCAAAAGCCGTAACGCACTCATCGTTCCAATCCGCAGGGGTAAGTTTACGAAACGTGCCCTGTGACTTTTTGGTCTTTGCAAACTTGCCTTTTCTCTTCTGGCCAGCAGTTAGTGCAAACAAGGGCTTTGCGATAGAAGAGCAGTTGGGGATGAAATGTTGGTAATAAAACACCATGCCTAGAAACGATTTGATACGCCGGACCGAAGGTGTGCTGCCATCCTCTTCCATGAGATCACTGACAGTCATGTTTGTAATGACCTCAACTTTTGAAGGGTCCACAGACACACCTCCACCATCAATAACATGGCCAAGGAACCCTACTTTTTCTCTCAGAAAGTGGCACTTTTTGGGGGCCAGTTTAAGATTGTTCTCCCTTAGTCTGTGGAACACGGTTTGGAGTCTCGAAAGGGCCTCAGTCTCAGAAGGGGCAAAAATGAGAAGATCGTCAAGGTAGCAGAGTAGTTTAGAAAAGTTCATGTCCCCAAATATTCCAATCATCATCCTCATGAAAGAAGCAGGGCTGTTGCACAGGCCCTGTGGCATGCGATTATATTCATGCAGCCCCAGAGGAGTGGTAAAAGCAGTGTATTTCTTGTCTTCTTCATGCAGTGGGACATTGAAAAAGCCTGAAGTCAGATCCATTGTACTAAACAGGCAGTTGCCACCAAGCGCAGCCAAACAATCAGCCTGGTGGGGGAGAGGGTGGGCGTCTTTCAGGGTCCGGGCATTTAACCACCTGAAGTCAGTGCAAATCCGCAAACCACCGTCCTTTTTCCACACCATGACCAAAGGTGAGGCATACTCACTGGTGGATTTCCTAATTATCCCTCTTTCCTCCATATCGCTGAGCACCTGCCGCAACTTCTGATAATGTGCCGGGGGAACTCTCCTATATGGCAACCGAAAAGGGCGATCATCAGTGAGACGGATACGATGTGTGTAGCCTTGCACTTCCCCACAGTCCAATGAATGTCTGGAGAATATGTCATGATACTCAATTAGCAGCTCAGCGAGTCTTAACTTGCAAGCGTCGGTGACTTTGCATGAGTCAATATCAACATCTCCAAGGCCTAGGTCAGACAGGCATTTGACAATGGTGGTCATGTCACAAGGGGAGTGGGAGCCATCACCTTCCCTGTCAGAGTCGCCTTGTTGGTCATTTGCGGCCACATGAAGGCCCTGAAAAACATCAAAATCCTCAATCGCTAAACAAGGGGAAACATCAGCCAGTTTACTGTTTCTTTTTAGTGTGACTGGTTTGTCAGTGGGATTAACAATGGTCATAGGCACCCACCTATCACCCCAGAGAGGTGTAACCAGGCGACCCACGAGAACACTTCGTGGCATGGCTTTAGAGGAGGTTGGCTCAACTATAACAGTACTACCGGGGGACATAGGAACATTAGCTGGAAGCTTACCCCAGACTAAGTGCTCGTGTTTGGGTAGCAAAGTCACAGCTTGGGTGAGCTTAACGGTACCTATCTTGTCAGGAACAGCGCTACCCTTCCAGCGCTCAACATTGGTAAACATTGACAGAAACTGATCAGTTTCAGGATCAAACTGTGGACCAAGTTTTGACGCTACGTCCCAGTAATCTCCAACCCCTTTCAGAACATGTACGATGCGCTTTATGACATTTGAGCCCAAAATAAGATCATCTTGTTGGCCAGGCACAAGCAGCGTGGGTACCATAATGTGTATCCCATACAATTGCATTTCTAAGTCATAGAAACCCTCAGGCCTTGTCTGTAAACCACCACAGCCAATCAGCACAAGATTCTCAGCGGGTGTTTGCTTTTCAGGTAACAATCCAGCTGTTCTGAGCTTTTCAGCAGCACCCTCACTAATGCTACACGCCATCGAACCAGAATCCAACATGCCACTTAGGTTAACACCATTGTTGACCAAGACTGGTGTGTAAAACAGCTCACCAAATGCCTGAACCCTTTGAGTACTCTGAACCACTATCTGAGTTCCCTTCGGCGCTGTAGCGCAAGCATCAGTGTAAAGGTCGGCCAGATTGGTTTGGAGGGGATTGTCTACTTCACCCACACCACCCCTCAACAGATGTGGGTTCCCTAGTTTAACGGCTGGTTTTGTGGGCTAGAGGCGCTGGACAAGTTAGAGCGATGCTGGTTGCCAGGGACAGAACAGTCCTTTTTCCAATGACCAGGAGACAAACATTTGAGGCACCTGTTCTCTCTTTTACAGTGGGACAGAGTGGAATGTTCCGCAGTGCCACATACTCTACATGCTCTCTTAGGATGTTGGGGCAGGGCAGAGTGAGTGCTCAAGTTGGCTGGGGCTTGTGTTTGCTGTGTAATTAACCTGTCTAACACACTCACCAGACTCCTCATGCAGTCTGCATCAATACCAAATACACTGGGTGGAATGGCAGGGGGAGGAGACTGCATCAATGGCCTAACATCACCTGCTCCGAGGTCATCGACCATAGGCACACACTGGGACTGGGCTCTATAAACAGCAGAGCCAGGCTTGTGCGGTCTCATTGTGGCACCACGGGACTTCTTCTCCCGAAGATGTTCATCGAGCCGCCCTTGGATTTCACTGGCAGTCCACTTATCTGCCGATTTGAACTTAAACACATTAGAAAGAGACTGGTCAGGGCAGTGTTTGACAAACATCATACTGACTTCATGGGAAGGATCATCGATACTACGGCCCTGTCTCTGCAAACATTCATGCGCCACATCCACCGTCTTGTTCAGTCTTATCCAATATTCCATAGCATCCTCGCCTGGCACTGGTAAGGTATTGTAAAAGTCCGCAAGTGGCATGTTTGAGTAGGTCATTTCACTGAAGTGTTGTTTTAGAATATCGAAAATCACTTGGGGATTGGCAGCATGGTTAATAGACTTGTCATTACGCAATTTTATACGGACAACATCACCAGCTCTGCCCATAAGTTTAGCCAGAATCTCCTGTGACTGTTCATGTAGGGGAACGTTGCGTTTCTTCAAATAGAGAGCCACAAGATTTTCCCATTCATGGACAGAAAACTTGTCCGAACCATCGCCTCTAAATATGGGGGGTTCTTTGACATCAGAATGCATGACAAAACTAACGTTAGACCGAGTCATGTCAGGCAATTGAGCAGTAAGGTTAGTGTCACTAGTCATATTCTGTATGCTTCTGTCAGACTGTAACTTAGCAGTGATAGATTCACCAATCTTATCAGCTAATTGAGTAATAAGTGCACTTAAGTCAGCACTCTGCTGAACTTGACCAGGCACATCATGTCTCACAAAACGTGTTGAGGAAAACTGTGGACTATCTAAGACAGTATCACCATGACCCGGTGACCTGGCATCAAGGGTCCGATTGTGTAACCCCCTACCCACACCAAACTGGAACTGAAAAGGGACACTGTCAGTACCATCATCTTCCCGCTCAACAGTGTAAGTGCTACCCTCTGCCATGATTCACACCGTTGCACATGCACAGAAAAAAAATACAGAGTTGTGAGAAACATACAGCATTAGATAAAAGTGCTGAAAACCTCTACAACTTAGTCTATGCAAAGAAAGAAACCAGGCACCATCCAGTGACACTGAAATGCCAAGGGCGAGGCAGCAGCTTCCCACGGCGAACGAGCTGACGTCGAACCTTGAATCAGTCCTTGAAAGGTCACGGCACCATTGTAACGGGTGCGCATCTGGTCATTAACAGTCTAATATTTTGGTGCACATCCGTTAACCCTTAATTATATCTGCGTTGTGTCCCTGTGTACTGCGCTGGTTGAAGGAAGGACCATGAGACACTGGTGACCAATGGATACTGGATACCACGTTTACTGGTGGTTCTGCACAAATGAAAGAAAAATACAAATCTCTGTCACATGTTTTCTCCATGCACGCAGCTCATCAGTCCCCTCCTCAGTAGCATTGTACAGACTGAGAGAGGTGCACATGTGCCTAAACATTTTAACAATTTTTTTTAACATAAAATAAATATGAATTATAATATTTTTAAATGTTCCATAACAATCTATTGACATCTTAAACACAATGCACATACCTGCACAAATGAAAGAAAAATACAAATCTCTGTCACATGTTTTCTCCATGCACGCAGCTCATCAGTCCCCTGTTAGCAAGAAAACACATGGAGAAGGCTGAAGCTAGCTCTCAACTACATGTAACTACAGTAAACTTTAAACAATAGACATGAGACCGCTCCTACATGGTCCAACTTGTACATGTGGATTTGTAGATTATCAGTAATTATATTAACAATGAACTTTTATATTTTAAAACTTGTGCTCACCTCCTCAGTAGCATTGTACAGACTGAGAGAGGTGCACATGTGCAGCACGCAAACCACGTTGCTCTTAAAGGGACAGTACAGGCAAAATGTGCAACTCTTAATAACATAATAATAACATTGGGAAAGAGGCTAAACCATGCCTAAAACCACACAATACCAATGGAAATTTAATTAAAGTGAAGGATTTGGTGAAATTCAAAATAAAACAAAAATACATTTCTCCTTGGTTACACAAACTTTGAATTCCGCGTTGGGAGTATGAACACTGTGTTGGATCAGGAGATGGAGCGTTACAACACGTAGCCATATTTTAAAAGTCTTGACCTCAACCCATTGTTCTGCTTTGTTAGGTTGTGCACTACGATCCTCGTTAGCATCCAGAACCTGCTCAAAGCCATCAAGGGGTTAATGGTGATGGATGCTGAGCTGGAGGCAGTGGCTGGCAGTTTAATAGTGGGGAAAGTGCCAGAAAGGTGGGCCAAGCACTCTTATCCCAGTCTCAAACCCTTGGGCAGCTACATAAATGACTTTCTTGCAAGGCTTTTTGCAAGTAAGATTTTTAATTTTTTTTGTTACAAAGAAATTTAACTGTTTATTGGAAGTTAATTAAAAACATTGAATCTTTTGTTACAGAAGTGGCATGACACAAATAAGCCTAATGTATTTTGGCTGTCTGGATTCTTCTTTACTCAAGCTTTTCTCACTGGTGCAATGCAGAACTATGCAAGAAAGTATCACATTCCTATTGACTTACTAGGGTTTGATTTTGAGGTGATTATTTTTTGTTATTATGCCTTTATTGTATTATTCAGGCTTTAAAAATATGTATTAATGTTTTTTTTTTTTTCTTTCACATTTTGGCTAAAGGTTCTTCCCATTGATGCATCAGAAACATCACCTGAAGATGGTGTCTACATTCATGGACTGTTTTTGGATGGAGCTCGATGGGACAAAGATAGGTAAGACAACTAGACAGTGGAACATTCTCATTCTTATAAACTGTTCCCGCTAAAATCTGATTGTTGTTGTTTGTAACAGTAATGTTCTGGCTGAACAATACCCCAAAGTCCTTTTTGATTTGATGCCAATTATCTGGATCAAACCAAATAAGACAATTTTAAATCATTTCAGCCCACAGTCAGTAAAAAGTAAAAAATAAAAAATGTGTGTGCTGAATTGTATTAAACTGAAAATATGTTATGCATCTCTATGCTTAAATTTTTTTTTATTTTTTTTTACCATCGTAGCTCAGAAGAAGGACATCCTTCAGTCTCAAAAGCTGTACAATTTGTCCACTGTATAAAACCAGTGAGAGGAAAGGCACTCCATCGACCACAGGCCACTCCACTAACTTTGTCATTACTATGATGTTACCAGCAAGCAGGAGGCCTCAACACTGGGTCAAACGTGGAGTAGCCCTGCTCTGTCAGCTTGATGATTAAGATTCGGTATTACAAGCCCTTCTATCTTACATTTAATTAAATATTTTTGGAGTATGCAAAATAAAAGCTGTCTTATTCTGAGTATGCATAATGTCCTGAAAATACTTACCTGTCATCCAAACCCCGTGGACCTATTACCCTGGATACTTCCTTATGATACTGTAGCAATAATACATGTACAGTTACTCCATATGGCCACTAGGGGGTGTTGTAACCTTATTACAGTTTGAGTGGATTTGATTTGAGCTGACGCCTCATACAATACTTTTTTCCCCTACAAAATGCATTTTTTGTCCAAATTACAACATTTTTAAATAAATGTAGATGATTGCAAATAAAATTAAATTCAAGTTTTTATATGTCTAAAGTATTTCAGATATGTGTTTTTTTTATTGTTTCATAACCTTAACAAAATTATGCTACTGTAAAGCAATAAATTAAGTCCATGTAGTGGGCCTCTGGGTTGTCAAATGCCAGAAGCGCAAGTGTCCTTTCCATTTCAGTCAGGCATTCTCGGCTCTCCTCGCCTTGTTCTGCTAACTGGGCCTGAGCAAACTCAAGGGCCGCTTCAGTCTCCCGTAAACGAATGAGCTCTATCAAGTGTTGTTGCTGTGAAAAAAAAAAAAAGAGCAAGAGGTTGGCAACATGGTAAGTAAGTACATATCAATGTTTCACCTCAAAGTATACCTGCAGGTGAAAGCAGAGATAACGATTGGTGCCTAGTAGTTCTGGGTGCAAGTTGTTAAGAAGTGCAATAGCATCCTGGATCTGCCCTTTCAGGATCATCTCTCTGATCTTAATCCGTTCATCAAGAGAGTCCAAATCTACACAAGGCTCAATCCCAGACTCCAATCGAAACTTCTCTGCAGCTTCCTTAAC